CYKGRATCCAAGCAACTGGGGAGGYTGCAGCAAGATCACAAGTTCAAGGCCAGCCTGAATAACTTACGGAGACTCTGTCTCAAAATAAAAAATAAAAATGGCTAGAGTTGCAGATCAATGGTCGAGTGTCCCTCGGTTCCACAGCCCCAGTATTGGGGGGAGGAGCTTATTATAGAAAAAAAAATACCAAAGCCAAAAAAGAAACCCATCCTTATTGCCGGGTGTCCTCTCTGGACTGGATTTCAACCAGGCAGCAAGCCCCACGTGCGCGTACTTGCTGCTGGGTTTGATCTCCTGGCCGTTCTTGAACCACTTGAGAGGAAGGTCTGGGTCGCTGATCTCCACCACCAGCTTGATCTTGTTGCCCCTGTCCACCTGGTAGGCGGGGTCCAGCTTTTTGGTGAAGGCTGGACGTGGAGAGAAGCACAGGGGCTAGAGACGAGGAGCCTCACCACCCTGGGCACCCAGGAGAAGCCACCTCTCCCTCCCCAGGCCACGGGCTCTCCGAGGTCAAGGTCAGGGGCCTCCTGTGAACCTCCCTGAGAGCAAGATTCAACTACTCCTTGACCGGGGTCTCCAAGATAGGTCCCGTGTCCAGACAGCAGGTGCCCGTGGTGCTGGGGTCCCTGTGGAGGGGCCTCCTCCGCTCAGAGTGCTGACCTGCGCTCTTCTTGACCTCCACCTTRGCCTTCTTGAGCCGCTTCAGCATGCCCCGGAGGTCGGTGATGCCGTACTGGAAGGCGATCTTCTCGTACTCGCTCTTCTTGGCCCCTTTCAGGAGCTCCCAGATCTCCGGGGGGATGCCCAGGTCGTCGTCGTCCTTCTTCTTCTTCTTCTTCTCCTCCTCCACCACCTCCCTGGGGGCGGGAGGCAGGCCGAAGCCACCAGGAGTGAGAAGGCGAGCGTCTCCTCTGCTTGCTTGCTGTGGGACTTACCCAAGTCACCTTCTCTCTCTGGCCTTCCACTGTCCCACCCCAGCCTCCTCCTAGGCCTCTGTCCTCCAGCCTCCTCCCCTCTCCACATGGCCCCTCAGATGCCATCCTTAGGCTGCTGAGAGCTCTCACAGCCCCCAGGAGCTCTCTCTGCCCTCAAGAGGAAGGCCCCACTCCCCAGCCTGGCGGTCACATACCCACCCACCCTTCCAGCACTGCCCCCACAGGACAGATGAGCAGGAACACGAATATAGAGCAACTGGTGAGTGACAGATGCATCAATGGATGGGGAGGCAGAAAGACAGGCGGGCGGTTGGCGGCAGGTGGCTGGGTGAGGGGATGGGCTGGTGGCTAGCCAGAAATGTTGGGCAGCTGGGTGAATCTGTGGACGGGAGGTGGCCCAGGCAGTGGTTGACTGGCCAGGGAAAYGGGTGAGTGGATTAGTAAATGGGGTTGGTTATGGGGTAGGAGGGGGAGTGGGGGATGGAGAGGTTGACCAGCAGGTGGTGAGCACTACATGGGGMAGCATGACATGGCCATCATTCAGTCATTTTTGACCTAGAGAACACTGATCTCCTACAGTTCAATCTAACAGAGAGCTACCGGTGGGGGATGCAATGTGTCAATGGAGAGGTGAACGGTTGGTAGAAGGACGTCTGGAGACAGATGGGGGATGAGTTTATAGGCAGACAGGATACTGGATATGGTTGGGAGAGAGAGAGGGTACAGATGGCTAGACGGATGGGAAGGTGGGAAGGTGGATGGATGTAAGGACGGACAGGAGGTGGAGAGGAGGACAGGAAGGGACCTCATCAGGTGGAGAAGTGTATGAAGCAGGAAGGTGCAGGATGAACTGATGGACTGACATAGATGGCTGAGCATAATGGCAATTAGGTGGATGGACAGGTGGAAAGAYGGTGGGTAGATTGAGGGATATGTGAGTGGGGGTATTGAGAAATGGGAAGATGGGTGAATAGATGAATTAGTGGATGGATAGATGAATGGGTGGGTGGATGGATGGGTGGGTAGGTGGATGGACAGACGGAGGGACTGGTGGGTGGGACAAGAGGATGCACAGATGGTGGGTTGGATGAGTGGGTGGATATGGAAGTGAACTGGAGCCTGAGTGAGCAGGAGAGTGGATGTGGGGTCATGGGTTAAAGAGGAGTAGGTAGGCTAATTGGTGGGCAGGTGGTGGACTGGGTGAGGTTGTGGGCAGGGGCAAGGGGTGTGTAGGTGGGTAGTGAATCGACAGGTGACTGGATGGGTTGGCAGGTAGGAACTGAACAGAGGGAGAAGATGATGGAGGGAGAAGCAGAGAATCCGGGAGAATTTGGAAGTAACAGGCAGTGGAGCTTCGCCCGCCATCCTCCTCCCCTGGGTTGCCCCAACTCCCCTCTGTGAAGTGGGCTCACCTCTTCTTCAACAGGCCGCTGAAATCCAGCTCACCCGCATCCTCTGGCTTCCCTTCACCCCTGTGGCCATTGAGAGGGGAAATGAACCTCAGTGAGATTCATCCTGGGGTCCCCACTCCCTGCCTTCCATGATCCTCCCTTCTCCCACATTCCCACCGCCCATGATCCTTGGCACCAGGAGATCCCCTCTCCCCGGAATCCAGAACCACTTACGATCGCTTGAAGCTTTCCAGGCTCTGCCCAGAGGCGTCCTGACGGGGTGCTGGGAGGGGACAATTGGGGAAAGGGAAGGTGAGCTGGAGGCGAGAGCTGATCTAAGAACAGGAGCTCCTCTCCAGGCCCCTTTCCCCTGCCTGCTGGACCAGCACGCCCTCCTGCCTGGGCCTGGCCCCTCCACTCCCAGTCCCACTCACCCACATCCCTGGCCACCAGCTTGCACCGCTCCCCCMGGGGCCTGGGCAGCCTCATCCTCTGCACCCCTCATATCTAAGTCCCCCCACGTCCTGAGCTCAGACTCCCTAATCCCTCAGAGCTCTATACCTGTGCCCCCATGTGTAGCCTCCTGTCGTCCCCTATACCCTCGCCCTCAGCCCACACCCCCGCGTGCTCTACACCAGGACACCCTCCTCCCCCAAGCCTTGATCCCACTTGCTCAAGCCTGAAATCTGCTCACCTCCTAGGCTTTCACATGCCTGAACACTTTGCCCCTGAACCTATAGCTCCTCCTCCTCTAGCCCGTGGATGGTCTCCCCGGTTTTGAATACCATGAACCCTGGATCTCTACTCCCAGATCCACACACCCAGCCTCCCCACATGTCTCCACAATCTCCCCACACCCCCAAGCCCAGACCCACAAACCTCKACCCCACCACAGCCCCGCCAGCGTACCCTCCACATCAATGTTGAAGCTACAGCTGTCACAGATGTCCTTGGCTTTGACCTCAAGGCGGTAATCCCCACGGTCCCCCAGTACCACCTTCCCAATGTGCAGCTCCACAGTGTACACCTGGGGGCCAGGGCCAGGGGTGTGGATACACGGACTACCCCACAGCCCCTCACCTCCCCCAAGCCCACTTCAGAACTGTGCCCAAGTCCTCACCCCTACCCCACCCAGGGGCCTTGAAGGCCTAGCACAGGGGCCTCAGCACCCAGTGGCCAGCTCAGTCTCTTCTGGCTGGACAATCTCGACTCCTGGGCCCAAATGACCACACTCGAGTGCAYGATACCCAACCCCAAACACCCCCCACTGCTCAACAGAGCCTCCCCCCAGGGGGCTCCAGGCCACAGCTGGGCCTCAGATAATAGGCCTGCTCSGCCCCCAGCCGGCCCGCGCACCCCCATACTGTGGAGTCCTCACATTACTGGCAGAGTCGTGGGACTCCTTGAAGGAGAATCGGGCCCCACTCTTGCTGCCCAGCTCTAGCCACTTGCCCTTGAACCACTTGATGGCCGGTTTGGCAGGAAGCTCCTTCCCGTTCACCTTGGCTGTGATCACAGCATCCTTTCCTGGGTTGGGTGAAGGGAGAGCCATCAGGGTCCCCAGAACTCTTCAGAGGGGGACTGTGAGCTTGAGAGACCCAGTGCCTCCTCCATCAGACCCAGGGGCCCAGGCCCCGCCTCCTCCCTCAGACCCAGGGTCCAGGCCCMRCCTCCTCCCTCAGACCTGGGGCCCAGGCCCAGCCTCCTTCAGGCCCCTCACCAGCCTCCACTGATACAGAGTCTGGCTTTTTCAGGAAAATGCCAGTGGGCTCCTCAGCAGTCGGGGACTGGTCCTCGGGTGGGGCTTCTGCTCAGGAGACAGGATTAGGATATCAGAGAATGGCTAGGGTCCAGCAGCAGGGCATGGGGGCAGAGTGGCTTTTCCTGAACTGGGAAAGACCGTGTGTCCTATAGCTGCCTGTGTGACCTAACTAGACTCCCCCAGCCCTTTAGCCTCAGCTTCCCCTTCTGTGAATCAGAGGGTGTAGACTAAATGGTCCTTTGGGGTAGGAGAGGCTTMAAGATGGACTGGGGCATTCGGAGCTGGGCAGGACGTGGTGACCAACTAGCCAGTTGATGGGAGCCTGAGGCCAGGCTGGGGGGTTGGCGCTCTCCTAGCACTAGGGAGCCATGGCAGACTGTGAGCAGGGAGGGCTGGTCACCTCTGGTGCTGTGTGGGGACAGACCAAAGGAAAAAGACCAGGAAGAGGCTGGAGAGAGGGCACAGAGGAGTGCAAGAGGGAGACGGGATGACAGGCCAGGGATACCCTCTCACCTTTGGGGGGCTCTGCAGGAGCCTCCTTAGGGGGAGCTTCTTTGGGAGCATCTTTGCCTTTTGGGACCTTTTTGGCTGCTGAGATAGGAAATGTTCACACTTGAGCAAGTGCTGGCCACCTTCCTCCCTCAGACCCAGGGGTCCATGCCCCAGCCCCCATCTCTGAGACCCAGGGTCCAGGCCCAGCCCTCCTCCCTCAGACCCAGGGGTCCAGGCCCAGGAATCCAGGCCCCAGCCCTCCCCTCAGACCCAGGGTCCAGGCCCAGCCCCCCTCCCTCAGACCCAGGGGTGCAGGCCCAGCCTCCTCCCTCAGACCCAGGGTCCAGGCCCAGCCTCTTCCCTCAGACCCAGGGGTCCAGGCCCCAGCCCCCCTCCCTCAGACCCAGAAGTGGGGGGTGGGCATCCTAGGTGTAAATTTATATCTAATCCTGAGTCTGTGAGATCAGGTTTCCCCTACCCCAGGCAGGTGGTGCCCCAGCTACCCAGGCCACTGGGCCCTGACCTTTTGGTTTCTGGGGGTATAATTAGCTCTTCCTCTAGGCTAGAAACTGGACACCTCCTGCTGACCACAGCAGCCTTCCCCTGGGGTGCTGGTTCCATGGGGGCGCAGGGGCAGAAAGGGGCTGGACCCCCACCCCACTCCTGGCTGGCCTGATGCCAGGGGACACAACACGCCAGGAAGAGGTCCACCACCCAGGGCCTGTCTCCTGTGCAGACTTCCCCATAGAGAGGGAGCCCATGCTTCCACAGAGAAGTGCCCTCCAGTCCCACTGGAAGAGGGACCTCCCAAACTGTACATAAAGAATGGGCTCCAGGGCTGGGTGTGGCTCAGTGGCACTGTGCTTGCCCAGGAAATGCAAGGCCCTAGGTTTGATCCCCAGAACTGCAAAAGAGAAAAAGAAAGATCTTGGGTTCCTATTCCAAGAAGATCCCCTAATTCCTCCACAGGGCGGCCCCAATTCCCATGGAAAGAGGGCTCTCCTCCTCCTTATTGGAGAGGAGTCCCAAGTCCCATGCAGACGGGAACCTCTAAGCTCTATACCCACACATGATCACTCCTAAAAAGATTCAGTCTTCATCCAGGGAGGAAGCCCAATCCCTGCCTAGAGGATACCCCCTCCAAATGCAAAGGACCCCACCACCACGGCAGACTCCCCAATCCATATGCCAGAGACCCTTCCCCCACTGAGAAAAAGGAACYCTGATTTGCAATCAGAGAATCCCCATTCCCTGAAATGGATCCCTAATCCGCTACAAAAAAAACTCTTTTTTGCAGGGGGAGGGGACCCCCCTATCCTACAAAGACATGCAACACCTCCACCTACCACAAGAAGGAATCTCCCCCAGCTTTCCACACAGGGACAACCTACTCAGATATGGGGCCCCCATCCCACGTAAAAAAAATAAACATTTCCTCACAGAGAAAGCACCCCATTCTCCCCAACTCACAAAAACAGGAGCCCCAAATCCCCATTCAGAAAAGAAGACCCATCCTCTCTTAGAAAGGGGTCCTGGTAGCCACCTGGTTTGGCCTCAGGCATGGCTGCGGATCTCTTCCGGCTCCTCTGACCCAGCCGCCTCTAGCAGGCCCTAGGGAGGACAGGTGGGACCGCAAAGAGGGGGGCTTTAAGAAGTCCGGGGACTCCCAGGAGGCTCCGGGAGGCATCGGAAGGCTGCCCCACATTCCTCTTGCGTGCTCTAAAGGGCGAGAMATAACAGCTGGACAGAGATAGATGGGTGAACGCCAGGTCCGCGTGGAGGACAGGCCGCGGGGCTCAAGACACCTGGTTCGGAGGGAGGAGGTGCCAGAAGCGGGGACACCAGGGTCTCGGGTAGGAGGGGGCTGGGTGCCCTGAATCCTAAGTCCGGGAGCAGAGGAACCCGCCCCGGGTTCTCGGTCCCAAGAAGGAAAGAGGAAGCGGAGGAGGGCCAGGATGCCCTCCTCCTGGGAGGAGGCAAGGGAAGGGCGAGGGTCCTAGGTGGGTGAGGCCGGGAGTCAGAGGCTGGCGTGGGGGTTGGGGAGAGACATCTAGAAAGCCATTCTTAGTATCTGCAAGTCAGGAGTTTTCGGGAAACCAGAGCCGGGAGGGAGGGTCCGGTTTCCCAGCGTAGGCAGGACAACTGTCGGGGGGAGGAGGTCTCTGTGACCCCAGGGAGCGCACTGGGGCTCTGGGACTCCCGCGTCCCGCTCTGCGGGCGTGGGCAGATCCAAAGGCCTGGGCCCCCGGCCACCTGGGGCTCTGGACTGGCCGCCGTGCCYCTTGGGACCGAGCCCAGCCGGCTGCCGCGACTGTTCCCGGAGCGAGCGAGGCGGGCACCGGACGCAGGGGAAGGGTGGTGTCCCCACGGGGGAGGGAGGGGAGCTGGGAAGGCCCTGGAGGGCTGCCGGGATGTTGGTGCCCTTCCCAGCAGGGGGACCTGCGGCTTTCCGAAGTGGGGTGGCGGGTGGCGGTGGGGCTGGAGGGGAAGGGGCGGGCCCCGGGGCGGGGCGGGGCGGGACTTGGGGAAACCAGGTGTTGTGGGGCGCGCTGGGTGGGCATGGGAGGGAGGGGCAGGGCGTGGGGGACAGGGGTAGGGCGGGCCACCGAGAAGTGACGCTGCGTGAGGTACCCGTAGGACGTGAAGCCCCTCCCCCTTTTCTTCCTACGCGTCTCCCACCCCCCCCACCCCCACCCCCGCTTTTTTCAAAATCCCCGAAGAATTGAAAACTTCCCTGCCCCGGGGAGCGCCAGTCCAACCAGGAGGCAGCCTCCGTGTGACGCCTAGGGCTGCCAGGCAGACTGCCTCGCCTCTCCAGGACCCAGCAGTTTCACAGGGSCTGGTGACAAAGAGGGACTCTAACAACTGGAGCTTCGCGTCCACCACCGCCAGCCCGAGGGCTCAATTCAGAGAGAGAGAGACAGAGACCTAGAAAGAGGGAGATAGAGACCTAGACCGAAGAGAAAGAGAGGAGGAGGTGGGGCCGAACTCTAATTGGCTGGAAGAAAGGGAGACACAAAAATTAAACGGAACCCCCAATGTCTGCACATCTACATCCTCATTTTGTCATTCAAGGCTCAGCCAGGTCTGGCCGTCATTGTTGCTTTGATTTCCTCTTTTATCTCCCCCCTTCTCTGTTGCTCTCGCGATGTTTGAGCGACAGCCAGCCCCACTGCATCAGGAGGTTGCAAAGAGTCCCAGGACATCCCTCCACTTTGACTCCTTTTGCTTTATTTTTATTCCACGTTTAGGGTGATGATGATAGCTTTTGTATAAAGTACTTTCTTTGCAGRAAGAAGCCCCAGGGAGGATTAGCACCAACGCTGTGTGCTGGGTATGCCAACATGGACCTTCTCTGGGTCCTTAAGACTTCTCCTCCTCCTCCCATCCTCCTTGCGGGTGGATTTCAGGAGATGTGTTGAAGTTCAAGGGGGCTGACAGGTGGTTTTGTTTTTGTTTTTGTGCTGGGATGGAACCCACGGCCTCATGCCTCATCCGTACCGGGCAAGTGCTCTGCCACAGAGCTAGATCCTCAGACCCTTTTATTATTTTGAGGCAGGATCTCACTAAGTTGCCCAGCCTRGCCTTGAACTTGCAATTCTCCTGCCACAGCCTCCCCAGTAACTTGGATTACAAGTGTGCACCACCCTGACCAGCTTGCAAGGATTTTTTTTTTTTGAGATCCTCCTCCTTTCCCCCACTTTTCAGAGGGACAAACTGAGACTTCACTTGCTTAGCCCACCCAGCCTCAAGGCTCTGGACCTTTGACTCCCGTGGTTCCCAAGTGACAGCTCCCACACAGGCAGGCTCCAGCTCCTGCTGGGTTTGCACAGGGTAGAAACTCAATAGTTGGGACCAAGGAAGTGCAAGAATAGATGATGYGTTATGAGGAGGCCACTCTCCTGCTGCAACCTCTCCACATCAAAAAGCTGGCTCACTGTCACCAGATTGTCCAAAGATTTAAGCGAAGSCAGAAATCTGGACCATGAAACATCTCCCTATTTCAAATGTGGGCTGTTAATTCAGGTTCTTCCCCTCAAAACGCTTCAGTGAACTAAAGAAAACACCACCAGGGACCTAGTTTGCCTGGGTGGGGGTGGGGATTCACCAGCTTGAGACGTCTCGMTAGAACTGCCATGGGAGGGGAGGCTGCCCAACACACAGAAATCCCCGTGGTGGCAGAAGGGTGCTCACAGGGGCCTACAAAGGGCACCCCAGGAAGGTCCAGAAATCTCAGACCTCCTTTGGGACTTCTAAGGGATCCCCTGGGGGGGTGTCTCAGATGTGACTGGAGGATCCCAGATATGACAAGAGGGGCCCAAACTAAGTGCTACTGAACCCCTACCGACCCTAGACCTAACAAGTCATTTCAGACATAACCAAAGGATCACAAAGGGGCTCTAGATGTGATTAGAGAGTTCCAGACTCCCCCCCAAAAAAAGTGACAGCAGAGTGATTCCATAGAACAGGGGATCTCAAAGATGGCAAAGGGATCTGGGGTTACAGAGTGACAAGAACCATAGATGGACAGAGATCTGGGAAGATAAAGGGTTCCACAGAGGGCTCCAGACATAACCAGGGGACCTCAGATCTGACAAGAGGGATCCAGATTTGAGAAGGGGATCCCAAAGGGACCCCACGCCCCACCCCAGGGTTTAAGGTTTCTGGCAGCGCCCCCCTCCTGGTGTGATGATCTGAAGAGATTGAAGGTTCACAGACACACAAGGGGCTTCAAAGAGGTGACTGGCCTGGATGGGGGGGGGGACCTCAGACATAAGGGGATCCCCCAGAAGTTCTTGGAATTCTGGACACATTGCCCATGCCCCACCCACCTGCCTGCCACACACAATACAGTGGTCCATAGGTCCTATGACTCAAAACATGACGAYCCTGGGGGATCCTGTACATGACAAAAGAGTCCCAGAAACCCACTGGGGAGTCCTAGAGGGGCCCTGGGCAGGGCTTAGGGATTGTGACAGCCCCCACCCCAAATGTGGGGATCCATGGATCCTATGTCCTAGAGTGCCATGTCGCCAAGGTGACCCAGGGACTCTAGAGGGGTCCTAGCTGGGCCATGAGGTCCCCAAGCGGCTCCACAGGCGAGGCTCGGTGCGCTCAGGCCCGGCGGGCGGCGGGCAGCAGCGCGCTGTCGAACTGGTAGGTGAGCTTGCGCTTGACCTTGCGGATCTCGCCGGTCTTGGCGTAGTTGCGGAGCGCGCGCGCCAGCTTCTGGTAAGTCATGCGCTTGCGGTTGCCCTTCTGCTGGCCCCAGCGGCGCGCCAGGAGCTCCTTGTGCTTCGAGGAGAACTGGAAGACGCCGGCGCCCGGCTCCACCCACCACACGCACTCGCGCATGTCCCCGCGCGTCAGCAGCCCCAGCAGGAACTGGTACAGGCGCAGCTTCTTGCGGGCCCCTGCAGCAGCGCGGGACACGCGTCAGCGGACGTCCCTCCGGCCCGCCCGCTTCCGCCCCAGCCTCTGGGTCCGCAGCAGAGGCCGGGGAGTTGGCCGTTGGGTGCACCTGTCTCTGCCCACCTGCGATCCAGCAACCCCCTCCTGAAGCCATTAGCTCCGKAATTCCCGTCCCTCTGCCCTGCTTCCGCCCTCAGGATTTGTCTGCCCTGTTCCCTGCTCTGCCTGCGGGCACTCGTTTGGTCTTGTTTATGTGCTGGGGATGGACCGGCCGGGGGCGTTGCGCTTGGGCGTTGCGCSGTGGGGGCTGAGCTACGCGCCCGCACAGCACAGGGCGAGGTATTGACTGCGCTCCTATGGGACCGACTGGCGGGCGCTCTGGAGTCAGCTTGGACCCCAAGGCCGATTCTCCAGCTCCTAGTCTCGAGGCCTCTCTGCCCCAGGCAAGGTGGGTCCTGGGAGAGGCCAGGGCATAGGACTCCTGGGCTCCTACAAGCAGCAACGGCCCCACAAAACTGGTGACTTCAAAATGGGGCACGCCCACCTGCCCTGTCTCAGCAGTGTGATCGGAGGTGGGACAACCTCTCTGAGCTGGAGTCTGCTCAGTCGAAAGCGGGCTCCCGCTCCCGTGCGGGCTTATTTTACTGTTTTAAATTTCGAGGGAGCTTTTCGCTCCAGGTGTCTCACTGGGCACTTTCCAAGTGTGAGGTCATTTCATTTTCATCACAACCCACAAGACAGGGATGAGGACAGCGACGCCCAGTTCACAGATGGGAAACAGGCCCACTGGCAAACACAATCCGTGGCCAACTTCCCAGCTGGGTGTGAGATATAGACTGTGGGCAGCAGCGAGGGTTAACAAATTAGGGGTAGGTCCTGGAATTTCTTTTGCGGCTCTTGCCTTGGTAATGATGGTGAAGATATGGACATACTGGGCACTCACTGTGCCACACAGTGCTATCCCTTCTGCATCTACAAACCCATTTAGTCCTCCCTACAGCCCCGCGGGGGGTACTCACTATCACTCAAAGTCACTCAAAGTTATTCCCTCTGTGCAGACTGGAAACCAAGGCACAGAGAGGTGGAGGTGCTTGCCCAAGGTCACACAGCCAGCAGGTGGCATGGATCTGGAACCTACTCTCAGAGGTGCAGAATACAGYAGGAGAAGCCATGATTCCTTCAGACCCTCCCTCTGTCTCTATTGGGCATTTCCTCCACCTCCCCACTCCCACGTACCTGCCTCGGATGCCCTCCCTTCAGGGCCAGTCATGAGGGCCTCGTCCGACTCGCTGTCTGAGACTTCAAGGGCAGGACTGTCCAGCAGCAGGTCTTCCTCCTCTGACAGCACAGGGCTGGGGTACGGGGCACACACCAGGGGGCCCAGAGTCTGTGGAAGGCCAGTGTCACCTGCATATCCAGGGACCCTCTCTCCCTCCCTCTCCTCCCTCTCCCTTCTCTGTGGCCCTCTTTGCTCTGTCTCCATTTTATTTTTAGTTTGGATGCTGGCCTTGGATCATATCTCCATGTCCAGGCCAGGGGACACCTGAGCTGCCTCCATTAAAGCCTGGCCAGCACACAGGGCCAGTCTGGGCAGCCCCTTGGTGCACTGGAACAGGGACAGCTCTTGCCCTGGGGCACTGAAGGAACAAGAAGGTTGCTGTGTGCCCAGGTTTGGCTGAGCGCAGTGCCTGGCCCCTTGGACACCTGCACTAGATGATGGCTTTGGTTTTCATTGTCCCCTGCCCCTCACCTGGCTGGTGAAGTCCTCGCTGGGGTATGCTGGGAGGCTGGGCCCAGAGGCCTCCAGGCTGGGAGCTGGGTCCAGATTCCCTGCAGGACTGTAGGCTGSGGGTCCATAGCAGAGCTGGGCAGCTGAGGGGTGACCATAGGTGGCCATTGCTGGGTCAAAGCCTTCATAGGAGGTGGCTGGGACAGGGGGGGCCTCGGCCCAGCCCCACAGAGAGTCTGGGAGAAAGCACTGAGTCAGAAGCCAGGAGGTCTGAGGAGGCCCCCTCCCACTCAGTGTCCCCAGCACAGAGGGACTATTGTGGGCTGTGCAAATCTCTGACCCCAGGATTTGCATGGGGGAGTGATGTGGGGGAGAGGAAGGGGAGGCAGTCTGGAAGCCTGGGCCACCCTTCTACCATGCCACATGAGACCTCCCTTGAACCTCAGTTTCCCCATCTGTGAAATGGGCCCAAGGCCCAGGTGGGGAGGGGTCTGGGCSAGCGCCACTCACCAGAAGCCCCCTCTGAGTCGGGGTAGCTGGAATGCTTGCAGCTGTCCAGGTCGTAGAAGACGCCATCTGAGTACTGCTGGGGTGGCGGGGAGAGGATCAACCCGGGGTTCAGGGAGCCCCATCTCCACCCTGGGCCCCAGGAGAGACTGACAGAGCCAGAGGAAGAGGAGAGGCTGGTGAGGGCAGAGACTGATAGGCAGAGAGACTCAGAGACCAGGTACCACAGGCAGGAAGAGGCAGGAGCGGAGAGAGACAGGCACACTGTGAGCAGGACACACAGCAGTCGCCCCCAGCACAGTTGTGGCTCCTGAGGACCTGGCAGCCGGTCTACGTGCAGTCCGTATAACAGGGTGTTGAGGAGGTGTGGCAGAGGTGGAGGCTCCACACTTCCTTAAACCACCTCTGTGTTGCTCTGGATTGTTCCAAGAGTCATGTGTTGCATTAGCCTTAGGAATCTAGTGGACACTAAAGCTAGCATCAATATCCACCATCCCTGTGACCCTGCACCCCCCGTAAGCCCAGGACAGCTGAAAACCTTGCCCACAGAAGAGCCTTAGTCAGGAATAATCAGAGCAGTTTTGTTAAGAGCCTTAGACCGGAAGCAGGGTCCCCAGCAGGATGAATGAACAAGCTGTGGCATAGTTGGCTAGAGTACTACACAGCAAGGAAAAAGAACAGCCACATTTAATGTAGAGGGAAGAGAGTCAGGTCCCCAACAGGACATGCTGCATGAGTCATTTCATATAAAGTTCAAAAACAGGCAAAACAGGGGCTGGGGATGTGGCTCAAGCGGTAGCGCGCTCGCCTGGCATGCGTGCGGCCTGGGTTCCATCCTCAGCACCAAAAACTAAAAATAAATAAATATTAAAAAAATTCTCTCTCTCTCTCTCTTTAAAAAAAAAATAAATAAACAGGCAAAACAATCGATGATGCCAGGCAGGTATTTCCTGGGAAGGGACGTGAGGGAATGCTCTATTCTGGAATAATGGGAATGTTCTGGATCTGCATCTGGTCAATGGTGGCACAGGTGTGTGCACAATGTGAAAACTCATGGACATACACAAACGTGGACAGTCAGCTGACCTGTAACTTATATTCAATTGGAAAAAAAAAAAAAAACTCGAGGCTGGGAAGTGATCCAGAAGTAGTTTTCTTTCAACCACATCTCTTGGACTGAATTGTGGCTCCTGGGAAGTTGGGTATAGTATTTTCTGTGTTTGAAGAATTACGGAATAAAGGAAAAAAGTTTAAAAGCCAGGTGTGGTGGTGTACATCTATAATCCCAGCTACTTTGGAGGCTGAGGCAGGAAGACTTCTAGTTCTGGGCCAGCCTCAGCAACTTAGGCAGACCCCATCTCAAAATCAAAATTAAAAAGGACTGCTGGGCACAGTGGCCCACACCTGTAATCCCAGTGACTCAGGAGGCTGAGGCAGGAGGATCATGAGTTCAAAGCCAGCCTCAGCAAAAGCAAGGCACTAAGCAGCTCAGTGAGACCCTGTCTCTAAATAAAATACAAAATAGGGCTGGGGATGTGGCTCAGTGGCCGAGTGCCAGAGTTCAATCCCCAGTACCCCCTACCCCCAAAAAAGGACTGAGGCTCAGTGATAGAGCACCATGGGTTCAATCTCCAGTACTAGGAGTAGGGAGTGGGGAAGAGGAATGAATACACTTGCCAAGTGTGGGACAAACAGACACTCAAGTCCCAGGGWGGTCTCAGAGCTTGCAAAAGGGATAGAGACATCAGAAATGGGTCTGGGATGGGAACAGGGTGGGAGTGAGTTCAGAAAGACAAAGAGAGAAGAAGGCACTGAAGGGGAAACTGAGGCAGAGAGGTGACCTGAGGGGGTCATGGAGGGCCATAGGCCCCACCCCGGGGGACCCAACTTACCAGACAGCTGAAGTGTGGCCCATCGAGCCTGGCAGGGGAGAGACACAGGGGCATGTCAGAGCCACCCTCAGCCACCTGAGTCTCCAAGTGGTTGGGGCTGATGGGGGAGGTGGCAGCAGCTGTGCCACTGCAGCTCTGAAGTCTGCTGGGTGTCCCTGGGTGAGACCAGCCCCGCCACATTCACCCCCCACACCCCCACCAGGACAGGAAGTGGGGGGCCAGGCAAATGTCCCCCCTCCCCAGAATTTGCATAGACAAAAGCTGCAGGGGGCAGGGAAAGTGAAGAAGAGAAAGTCCCGGGAGAGGAGAGGAGGTTGGGCACCAGCAGGTGGGGGTGGCCAGGGCCTTAGTGGGCAAGTCTGGCAAATGGGTCCGACTTGGACCAGGGAGAAATGTCTGGGCAGAGGGASGGAGAGGGAACCAGGTGAGGGGGAGGGGAAGTGGGAAGAGGAGGAAGGCATGGAAAGAGACTCCTGCCCAGGGACAAGATATTTCTTGGCCCCAGGAATGTAGATAGGGTGGTGGGGACCGACCAAAGGAGAGAAGCGGGGCGGGGGGGGGGGGGGGAGAACTGAAGGGAGGAAACAAGAGGAAGCAAGAGGCGCAGAGCAGAGAAACAGAACAGACACGGCAGGGAGGCCCGGAGACAGACACAGGACCACCTGGGAGAGGACATGGCSCGAGAGGAGAGCAGCAAGTGTCCTCAGATGCCACTTCTGGGGACCTGGAGAAGCAGGCTTGGGAAGAAGGGAGGGAAGTCTGTGGTGAAAGAATCAGGGCCAAGGCAGCGTGGACCCCGGTGCCATCCACCTGSTCCTGGGCGGGGCAGGCGTCCATGAGGATGAGGCCTGGAGGAGGGGCCCAGGGGATGGCGCAGGATGGGGGTCCCCATGTGGGCTTAGGGGGACCCACTTACTGTGCAGCCTCCAGGGCGAGCATGTTGGTGCCGGGCAGCTGGACTTGCTGTGGGCGGCAGCTGCCACCCCTATATATACCTTGGCCCAGCCCTCAGGGGAGGGGCGGAGCACTGGGCACGCCCCAAAAATCCCCTTGGGGAGGGGTCAGGGGAAGGGGCTGGATTGCACAATGCATTTGGTCATGTGGTGGGAAGGGCAGACCCACAGGCCGTCTGGATTTGGGGATCCCCATTTTGGGGGGCTGGCTCTGGGTGGTAGAGATGGGATAACTGGATTTGGTGGGGTGATGGAAAAAGGAACAGACGTGGCTGTGGTCAGTGAGGAGAGATCAGGACAGGGGGCTGTGGACCGTGGTGGACTCAAATCTCAGGAGCAGAGTGCCAGGGGCCAGCCACCACAGGATAGGGTGACAAGAGGCAGCTGGAGCAGGACAGCACAAGCACCAGGGGCTGTGGAGACAGCTCTGAGGGCACAAGGGGATCTCACAGACACTGCCTGGGGGGACTCAAGCTGGAACCGACCATTAGGACCCCACAGTGGAAACATCTGTGGGTGTGACATGGCAGGGGTGTCCCCTTGGTGGAGCCAGGGAGTGGAACCCTCTTGTCAGGGGCTGCCCCAGGGACCGGAGGAAACAGGTCAGCACCTGGCAGGAGGGGTGGACACCCAGCCCCCAGGGAGGGGCAGGCTGGGGCCAGACACCTGGCCCCCTGAGCAGAGAGCCTGGCAGAGATGCCCACCCAGAGGCGGAGGGGCACCGGAGGCAGGCGGGGCCCCACAGGCCTGGCAGTGGGAATGGGTGGACCCTCAGGGTCTCACCTGTGGGTGAGGAGACCCAACTGGGGCCTCCAGGGTCCCAGGGAGCCAGGGCTCATGAAATTAGACCTCGTTCCCCCAGAGACCACAAAGAACCACAAAGGAAAAGGCCTTAATTTTATTAACGCCCCGCGGGGGGCCTCCAGGTCACCAGGCCTCAGGGCCAGGGGGGCCAAAGCGCCTCAGCAGCTGCTCCTGATCCTCCAAGTCCTTCCGCACCTTCTTGCGCATGTAGAAGATGGGGCAGTCCCGGCTGCGGAGGTGGGTGCGGTCAGCTGGGTGGCCCGGCCAGAACCCTGCCCAGGATTGGGGCGGGGGTGGGGGACACAGGCAACCACCCCAGGGCTGTTCCCAGGACTTTGGCCCCCGCCTGCTGCCCCCTTCCTCTGGGGGCTGTTTGCTCAGTGGCACRGGGGGAGCCGATAACAGCGGGTGCCTGGCAAGGCTTGGGTGGCTGTATATCACCTGTCACCTGGCGTGGGAACCCACCCCGCCCATTTGTTCCCTGGGGAAAGCCCAGCCCCAMCCTGGGGGAGGGAGGTGGATTGGGAAGATGGCCATTTCCAGGGGCCAGCACCGGGACCCTGTCCCACTAAGGCCCAGAGGCGATGTAGTGACAGGGAGTCGGGAGTTTGGTCCCTGTGCCACAGGCTGGGAGCAGAGGGCCGAGTGCACACCTGGTGCAGATGACGTCCTCGTGCAGGCTGCCCTGACAGCGCTGGCACTGGGTCCAGAGGCGTGAGAAGCGCTCCTCCAGGGCGTTCAGGTGGGACACCTGGGGATGGCAGGGGCTGAGTAGGGCAGCCCAGCCCCTCTGCTCCCGCCCCCAGGCTCTGTCCCTTACCTCTTTCTGATACAGCTCTGACTCCCTGGATTGGCAGAATTTGCACACGGCTCCTGGTGGGGGGGTTGGGTCAGCACAGGGGTGCTGGCACTGAGCCAGGGCCCAGGCCACCCCATTCCTGTCCCTTCCCCACCCGCTGCCCATCCCGGTTTGTGAAAGTCCCCGGAGGCTGGAGAACAACGGAAGGAGTGTGTGGGGAAAACTCCCCTGGGGAACTCCCAGGGTGCGGGTGAGGACCCTCGGGTGGGGGGTGCAGGCAGAGGGGAGCCCCCGACTCAGGGCCAAGGTGTGTTGACCACCTTGCATCAATGACAGGGGCTGGGGTCTCACCCTGGTGGTTGAGCACYGTGCGGCAGCCGATGCAGCAGCTGCGGCGCTGGGCGAAGGCCAGGAGCCCGCCCACCTTGCCCGTGAGCACCGTCTTGCAGCGCGTGTGGTCACCCCCTGTGGGAGGGGAGGTCGTGAGGCGAGGTCAGGCAGCTGTGCCCGTTGGTGCCTTCCACTTCCCAAGCCCCTGGCTCTTACGCAGTAGCACCGCCTCTGCGCGGCCCTCGCCCAGGATGGGCTCGAAGATGCGCAGGAGGGGCTTGGCCAGCTGCTGCTCCAGGTAGTACTGCGTGTCGATGGGCAGGCTGTGCTCCAGCACGAACAGGGGGTCCTGCGGGAGGCCACATGGCAGCGTGTGGGCCCCTGAGGGCTCATCTGGTYAGGGGGCAGTGGCGAGGGGCACCACCCTGGAGGCGTAGTGAGGCTGAGCAGGACTGGAATGGGGTCAGAAGTCACAGAAGAGGCCTGCTCTGTGAACCCATGCTGGAAGCCACAGGTGGGGGCCCTCTGGTCACCAAGGAAGTGCCAGAGTTCAGGGGAGGAGGCAAAGCTGTGGAAGGGGTCACAGGAGTYAGAGGCCATGGGCTGAAAGCTGGGTCAGCACACTTCTTTGTGGGAAGCGGGTGGTGATGAATTAAGGGAGTCAGAAACTGCGGAGGAGCCAGCCAGGAGCGCAGGGGACCCCTTTCTGCAGGAGGCAGGGGAGGGGCAGGATGACCAGGCACACTGCAGCGCCTGAGTCACTGGGAGCAAAGCCTCCTGGAACTGTGTCCCAGGGGTGTATGGGGGTGTTCTCAGGGCCCACGGGGCCCGCCCATCTTGGAAAGCAGAAGTGAGAGCCGCAGAGCCGGGAGGCAGCAGGCAGCCCAGGTGGGCCTGACCTCGGACTTCATGTAGGCAGCCACGCCCTTGGCAGCTCCGATGATCACATAGGGGACACGGTCGCCCAGGCTGGGTGCACTCCCGGGGTCGCGCTTCCTCATCCTGTGGGGAGACCAAGGTGGCGGGTGGGTGAGGGTGGGGGGTGTGCAGGAAGTGGTGGGCCCAGCTGGCAGGAGGGGCTATTTCTGGACGCCCAGCCACCCCGAAGACCTCTCGGCCAGCTCCACGTGGGCCTGCTTGCCGGCGTAGTCGGCTGCGGCRCGGGTCAGCTCCTTGGTGATGACCAACTGGGAGATGTCGATGCGGTTACACAGCAGGTCTGAGATGACGTCCTTCGCGTGGGCCACGGCGCCCTCGGGGTCTCTGGGGGTAGGGTGGGCCAGACAGGCAGGTGTCACCAGTGGCAGGTTCAGACTGGAGCCAGTGAAGGCACCAGGATGGGCTCTGTGGGCTGAGACTCAGGGCAGGGAGGGGCCAGACCAGAGACGGCGAGTGGCAAGGCAGGTGTCACTCAGCTGTGCAAGCCTGTGCACCGGAAGAGAGCTGAGCCCGACACTCAGGTTCCCAGGGGACAGGAGGACAGGGAGCTGGAACCTCGGGTCTAAGGGAGGAGGCTGGGGTCTGGGTAGTCCACATACCTGTCCACAAGCAAGCGGCGCAGTGAGGCAGTGACCAGGTTGGCCACGAGGGGGCAGTTGTCCCTGCGCACAGCCTCCAGGCCCTTGCAGTCCATGCGGTCATGGGCATCTGGGCGGGAAGAGAAGAGCAGGCCAGCGTAGCGCTTCTTGCTGATAAGCAGGTAGGGGAAGTAGACCTGGGAGAGACCCATGGCAGAGACCCCTGAGACTGGGGACGCCCACAGTTCTGAGGCTCCTCCCAGAAAAAGGACAGGCAGGGCAGGGCCTGAGGCACAGGCTCCAGGAAGCCAGAGCCCGATGCGGTGGAGCCCAGGGTTGATTCTGAGCACCCTCAACATCCCAGAAACCCCCAATGTGAAACAGGGGGATAGGTCGAGAGGTGGCCCCTGAAACACGGGATCCAAGCGAAGGTACAACAAGGTGTCCCCTCAAAGGGAGAAGAGACCAAGTCCAGATGACAGAGTCCCTCTCAACAAGAAGCCCCGTATTAGTCAGTGTTTGAGCCGTGGGGGAAACGACAGTGTGAAGACTCCAAGTCACACCGTAGGTGCACCCTGGAGCTGGGGACACCAGACAGTGGTACAGACACAGGTGGACCTCCCAAGGACCACCACTATATCTGACAGATACTGGGAATCCCCCAAATCAGGTACRCTGTGACAAGATTTTTTTTGCTTTTGTAGTAATTGGATGGAACCCAGGGCCTTACACCCTACCGCCAAGCCACACCCCTAGCCCATGACCAGGTTTTCAACACACGAATGCTATACTGTATAACAAAGGCCCAGGCCTGGCAGGTTCCAAAGCTCAGACCCACATTCAGGAGAAACCAGGTAGCAAAGCACTCGATACTGGGTTTATGGTATGTGGAACAGTCTGATGAGGTTCCCTAAGACAAGAGGCCTGAGCAGCACCAGGGCACACCAAGCTGTGCACTCTTAGCTTTGTAGGCACCCTGAGAATCAGAGATGCTGAGCCTGGCAAAACCCACTGAGTGGAGTGCAGGGGGTTCCATGTACCTTCTCAAACTCGAGCCGGATGGGTGGTGGGAAGTGACCGGATACCCAGTTTGCAGCCTCCCGTCCCAGGGCCATAGCCTCAGCCACAGAGGAGACACCGAATCGGCACATGACTGAGTCAGTGTCACCATACACCACCTGGGAAAAGGTGAGAGGGAGGATGCTTTCTGCCAACCAGGGTCCGGGCCCAGCTCCCCCGAAGCCCACCTGCCCCCAGGTGTGGGTGGGCAGGCCAGTTCCTGACCTTGGCATCTGAACTGTAACCATTCTCCACCGTGTACTTGGACTCAACCAGTTGCTTGGTTTTCTCAATCATCTGACGCCCAAATCCAGTGACGCTCTGTGGGGTACAGAACCAGGCAGATGAAGGCCCAGAAGCTACATGCAATGGACACTGGTTGGAAAGGGATCCTGCCTCTGCCATTTCCCAGAGGCGTGGGCTTGGGTGAGCCCCTCTGATTCCCTGAGCCTTGGTTTCCAAATCTGCAACCTGGGTTACTACAATGTCCCTCAACAATATGCTAGAAATACTTGGGCTCCCCAGTTCAGAGTTCTGGGCATGGACAGGAACTGACTATGCCCAAGGACAGACAGAAAGGCTGGAATCTGAAGAGGTTACAACTCAGTGCTGATACTGCCAGCCACCTCCTGAAAGCCAGCAGTGTCACCCCCCTGTGCATGCTGTCATATGCTGTCAGGGCACCCCAAGCTATGCATTCTTAGCTTTRTAGGCACCCTGAGAATCAGAGATGCTGAGCTTGGCAAAACCCCCCATTGGCATCTCACATCAGGCAACGACCTTTCCAGCTGTCTTATTTACAGACCCCTGAGACTGGGAATTGGGGGACCAAGGAGAGAGGATTTTTTTGTTTTTGTTTGTATGGATCCAATCAGATAATTTTTTCCTCCCAAGTAGCTTACAGGTGTGTACCAATGTGCTGTCAACCTGCATCTTTTTTAAAATATCTACTTTTAATACTTACTTTAATATTTTTTATTTTAGTATTTATTTATTGTATTTTAATATTTATTATAAATAAAATATACTTTTTAAATTTTTATGTGGTGCTGAGGATCGAACCCAGGGCCTTACACATGCTAGGTAAATGCTCTACTATTGAGCCACAACCCCAGCCTTGCATCTTTTAATTAGAGCATTTAATCCATTTATACTTAGTGTAATTACTTACGTATTTATACTTAAAGCTGCAATTACACCATTTGCCTGTTATTTGTTCTATCTGCTCCATGTTCCTTTCCTTCCCCCCCATCTTTTTTTGGGGTGACTTACTACTTTATTGTTATTCTATCCCCTGCCCTTATGTGCTTGAGACAAAAGAGTCCAGGGCTGGGGCTAGGGCTCGGCAGTAGTGCACTTGCCTGGCATGTATGAGGCACTGGGTTTGATTTTCAGCGCCACATATAAATAAATAAAGGTCTATCAACAACTAAAAAAAAAAAAAAAGCCAAAGAGAGTGAAGGAGGTGAGAGAAAAGACAGAGACAGGGTCAGTGACAGGCAGCTGAGGAAGGCTGGTGTCCTCCTCTCTGCTTTGGGATGCAGCTTGTTGTCCCAACACTCACCCCTTCCCACCAGGGAGGCACCTGGGGATTGAAAGGCCAAAGAGGGAGCAGGGGTGGCACGGAGTAAGGGGGTCACGGACCAAGGGAAGGTCTTGCTCTGGCTTGGCCCTGGGAGAGGACCTCCAAGTACTTGGATTGTCCTGCCTGTTAAGAGTGCCTTTGTTCACATGAGACCTTCAGCCACACCAGGCAGTTCATAAAACAAGGCCTTGGTCAGGGTCTTGGGCCACCCAGTGTGACTTCAGGGTAGGAAAACCTGGAGACTGAAGAATAACTAAGGTCAGTCACAGGGGTGGCTTCAGCCTATAGGAGTGACCCCTGTAAAACTCCTGGACACCAAGGCTCTGGTGAACCTCCCTGGTTGAATGCTCCATGAGTTGTCACATGCCACTGCTGGGAGGACAGCTATGCTCCATGCTTGGTCCCTCCCAGGTCCTATCCCACAAACCACCTTCCCTAGCTGGTTTTACAATGTAGCCTTTTGCTATATTAAATCACAACCCTAAGTAAACAACCATTCTGAGTGGGAGTACTTCCAACCAGTCAGTGAATCTTCCAGCCAGTAGTCTTGGGGGCCCCAAAACTGCAGATGGGCAGCAGTGTGCTCAGGCTCCCCGACCTGGGTTCCTCTGGCCAGCATTCCCACCAAGCCTTCCCTTCAACCCTATGAAGCCTCACGGGCTGCCAGGGACAGAGGGAGGTCCTCATGGCCAGAGACAACCAAGAGAGGAAAACGTCATCCAGAATGTGCTACAGTCCCCAAAGCCCAGGGAGGGTCCCTTCTGGGGCTCTCTTGGGCAGACTCCAGCTTGGCAGACTCAGGCCCTCTGAGGTGTCCCTGAGAATGTTCTGTCCGAGCAGCAGCGCTGCCTTGGTCAGCAGCCAGGCTGGGCTGCTGAGGGAGACAGGGCTTCTCAGCCGTGATCCTGCTCAGAGCTGGCGTTGGTTAAGCCTCATCACTGGGGTCTTCACAGTCAGCGCAGAGGAAGACCTGTGCCTGGTCTGACTGTGACTGAGGTCAAGTGGCCCCGCTGAGGACACAGCAAATCCAGTCTGGCTAGCTGCTGCGTATCCCCCAGCCTTCCCCCAGTCCCTGAGCAGACATGGCCCTGTCCCCCCATCAGGAAAGCAATCTGCCCTACTCCCTCTCCCCCTGCAGAGACCGGGGAAGTGGGCTGATGGGTAGACTGTGGGGGCAGTGGGTTCTGTCAGGTGATCCTGTGGCACCTGGAGAAAATGGGCAAAGCTGCTTCCCTCCCTCAGGTCACCTGGCTTCCAGCTGGGCATCCTGTGTGCCCCTGCCTGGCCTCATATCCCTCTGCAGAGCCCTCAGCACCATGCATCCTAAACATTTCATCGTGGTCCACATCCCCACGAGGCTCACTGAACTGCATAGAACAGAAGCCCTCATGTTTTGCTACTGTCTGTCCTTCAAGGCACAGAGCAGAGCCCAGCTCCCAGCACATGCTCGACAGGAACCAGCTGCTCAAGCCACACTGGTCCCGTCTCCAAAGACCAGCAGATGGGGCAAGTAGACCCTCCAAAGGCCAGCAGATGGGGCAAGTGGACCCCACAGAGCTCTGCTTTCCCTCTGCAGCGCCCACCTGCCACCCGCTCCTGTCTGCCAGGGGCCTAAAGGCTCACCTGTGAGATCTCCAAGCATGGTAGCTTGCCCACCTGGGCACCGGTGAAGCCATATACGGAGTTGGCGCTCACCTTCAGCGCCAGCTGCCGCCCATCAAGGACCTGCCGCCGCAGGGGATCTGTCTCCTGGGCCAACTCTGCCTTGGCCCTAGGAGAGGACAGGGTTGAAGGCTATTCAGGTAGTGCCCCAGGTCTCGGGGGGAGATCAGAGGCCTAGCGAGGGCCCCAGGCCTGCACACTGTTCAGGGTGCCTTTCTTATGGGGGTGCCATGTACTGCAGAGGAGCCTGACCCACAGGCAAAGGGTCCTGCCTGGAGATGGTGCATGCACAGCCACAGATGACTGCAGACAGGCCATCCTGTGGGGAGGGGTGAGGCAGTGAGGAGCAGGGATTGCTGAACTCCCCTTGCAAGTCTGAACTCTGAGCAAGGGTGGGAGGGCTGGGGAGACCACCTCTTCCGGGCACTGAGCAGGTTCTCCAGGATCTGAGGCAACAGCCCCTTGCGCACAGATGTCTTCACAAACTCGTCCCCAGTGGGTGTCCTGATGAACTGGTCTGCGGTCAGGCTGGTGGGAAGACAGTGAGCTTCTTCAGGATGTGAGTGCCTCAGGCTCTCAAGATCCGCCAGCTCTTGTGGTTCCCTTTCCCTGTCCACAACTACCGGGCCTGCCTGTCTCCCCCACAGACTGACCCCTAAGGCAGGRCCCAGGCCACCTGGGCAGATACGTGCTGAATGTGGGGCCATACCCCAGTTTCTGGGCAGCCCCGGGCCGCAGAAGTGTGGTGTAGCACAGGTTGTGGGCCATCATAATGGACGGGTACAGCGAGGAGAAGTCCAGGGTAGCGATGGGAACATCGTAGTACCTGAGTGRCCACAGGAGAGGTCAGGGCCAGGAGCCTCCATTTTGTGCCCTCCCCTGGTCTTGGAGCCTCACCCTTTGAGGGGCTCGATGACTGTGGCTCCCGTGTAGTCCTCGCCGCCCTCCGTTTTCACCACGGGCATCAGCAGCCCCTCACGCATGGCCTGGGGAGAGACTGGGTGAGTGACCACCATGGGTGCACCTGGCAGGGCCCCTCAGCAGAGACGGGTACAGATGGGCCTGCCCTAAGCCACTGACCTGCCGCARCAGCTGGGACACGACCTTGACCTGCTGGCCACGGCTAAGCAGGTAACTGAGGGGCACACCGGTGACTCTCGCCATCTCCACAGTGTTCACCAGCACCATGAGCCGCTCGAGCAGCCGCAGAGGCAGGAAGGCGTCCTTGAGGCAGTAGACGGCCAGGCGGCGGCGGGTCTGGTCGTTCCCGTTCTGGGGTCAGCACCACCGGGTCGGGTCAGGGGCAGTGTGGCAGATGGAGCCAGGGGAGGATAGTGCATGGTGGCTGGGGTGGTGGGGTGGAGTGAGGGGGTGTGGGGAGTCACAGGATCTGAGGGAGGGGCAGCCTGAGGAGCTGGCATGAACGAGATCAGGGCAGGAGTGGAGCAGACCAAAGGATCCAATGACATAGATCATGGGAGTGGGAAAGACCAGGGGAAGGTGAATGGCAGGCCGAGGCCAGAGTGGATGGGCAAAATCAGAGGTTGGGCCAGAGGTCCAGGTGAGACCAGAAGTCAGCGGGGTGGACGAGGCCAGGGCAGGCCTGGTGGAGGGTGGAGTGGGACGGGCACCTGTAGGTCGGTGATGATGCTGTGCTGCACATCCTCCTTCTGCTCACCCAGGAAGTGGAAGCTCACAGCGTTGAGTGTGTAAGAGCGGAGCTTATACTCCCGAAGCAGCACCTGGGGTGGGCAAGCACGGCTTGGGCGCAGGTCTGGGCAGTGGTGTCCTGAGCCTAGGACCTGCCTAGCTAGGCCATACCTGCAGCATGTCCATCTGCACACGGCCCACCATGCTGACCACCTTGCTCTCTCGCCGGCCCATCTGCTTTGACTGGAATGATGAGTCCCGGATGTTGGAGCGGAGTCCGGCCACGCGGCCCAGGAAAGGGAAGGCCTGCACCTGTAAGGGTGGATGACGGCCACACAGCCAGGATGACATCCCAGTGGGGGGCAGGTTAGCCCCTGCCCAGGGCCCAGGCCCTCCCAGGCACAGCAGATGGAGACTAGCCACAACCCTACACATGATGTGAGGTGCTGGGAGCAGGGGCAGCTCTTGGTGCAGACTCAAGGGCTGGGGGGATTGAAGGTGGGAAGGACACAAGGATGGGGGAGCTGTGGCTGGGCTGACATGGACAGCAGGGTCCTGATGGGCAATGGGCAGGGAGTTGCCCAGGGCTGCACCAGTTGGGGAGAAGGGATCTCTGGGGGATTCTGACTGCTCTGGGGGAGTGGGCGGGGCCTGGGGGCAGCCAGCAGGGGGCAAGGCAGGAGGCAGCCTGGAGAGCCCAGCTGGAGAGGTGGAATGAGCAGGGATGGAGAGGGGTTCTCTCAAGCTGCTGGGGCACACATGGAGAAGACTGAGGCACTGAGGGAGCACGGAGAGCAGCGGCCTGGCTGCCAAGGCCAGGGTCAGGGCTAGACTTGCTGGTCTGGCTGGGGGCCCCTGAGTCTGTTCTGTTGTGTTTTCATTACCAATTGGCCAAACATACAGGAAAAGTAAAAAGGAACACATTACACCTCATTAAAGGTTAGTTACGTCCCCCTAAAAGCCCTAACCTCCAGTGCTTCAGAACATGATCTCATTTGGAAACACAAATCTGCAAATGGATTAAGATGAGGTCCTCAGAGGGGACCTTAATCCAATTTGACCACGTCCTTTGAAAAGGGCAAATGTACACCCAGAGACACACAGAGGAAGGGCGATGTGCAGATCCAGGGAGGAGCAGGCCCCCTGCAAGCTGAGGCCTGGGGAGATGCTTCCTCTGGCCCCAGAGGGACCAGCCCCCTCCCCACCTCACGCCTTGGTCTTCAAGCTCTGGAACCTCAGGGTGATCCCTTTCGGTGGCTTCGAGCCACCCAGCCTAAGAGTCTTCATCCCAGCAGCTAGGACACAGGGCTTTCACACCGCATCTACAGCCCCATCTGACTCAACAGCATCTGGCCTTGCRTGGACTTGGTACACTCCCCCTTTCCTTCCTATTATTCCTTTGCTCCCCTTATTCTTTTTCTCCTTCCCTGTTAACATGTTTGGCTCCTGAGCCCCTGCCTGCTGCTCTCTGCAGCTTGGAACAGCGGCCAATTCCTTGCTTATCTTCAACACTCGCCTTGCCTTGGCCTGAAGCCTCAGTAGCCTCTTTGAGCAGGGCAGGGCCAGGCCCAGMATGTCCTGAATCACTGGGGGTGACAGGCTGCAGGTATACAGGGCAAGGCCCTCACCTTGAGGGTTTGGGCCCGGGAGATGAGGTAGGGGAGGTCGAAGTTCTGAATGTTGTAGCCAGTGATGACATCGGGGTCCACGGCACGGACGAATGCAGACCAGGCCTGGAGCAGAAGCACAAGGGGTAAGCTTCAAATGCACTGCTCCCAGAATATTTCAGAAGACCCCCGGCACTTCTGAAAACATCACAGAACCCAGAGGAGAAGTATTTAGACCAAGCATGCAAACTTCAGAACACAGCTGTCTCCATGCCCAGGGGCTTATCCACCACAGCCTGGGATGGGGGTGCTGAGGAAGTATCAGGGCACAAAATGAGAGCCACCTGGAGAAGCTCCTCTTCCTGCTCGTAGCTCTGCACCTTGGCACCCAGGATAGGAGCACAGGGCCGCAGGGTGAGCGCCAGACGCAGGAAGGGCTCTGGCTCACCCCAGCGCAGGCCCAGAGAGCAAATCTGGATCACGGGGTCCCGCTCAGGCTCAGGGAAGATGCCTGAGGAAAGACGAGAGGGAAGAGGGGATGCAGGGGACTGGACTCCTGCCTCTCCTCCCAACACAAAGAGGGTGCTGCACCTCCACATTTCCCCCAGAACATCCACACCTCTGTCCCCAAGGCCTGCAAGGTTCATGCACTTCCCCCACCCCTGCTCACTCCACGCCAACCACACTGGCTGGCAAAGTCCTGCTCCACCCTCCACCGGTCAGAGCTTGGCACACCACTGACATCCAGATGGGTGAGGAGCCAAGCCCTGGGGACAGACCTTTGCGACCAGCACACTCAATGTCGAAGCTGAGCACACGCAGGGGTGCAATGCGCTGCCATGGCCCTTCTGGGGGGTGACTGACCACATCTGACCACAGCACATCTACCTCCAGCTGACACAGTGTAACCTGTGGGGTGGGGAATGTCAGTGGCAGCAGGGTCCTGGCTTCCTCTCCCCCGGGGAGCCACGTACCTTCTCCTCTGGCCTCAGGATGTATTTCCCAGCTGGGAGTTCCAGCCAGTTGCAGCCAACGATGTCCGCATCCACCATGAACCTAGAGGGGACGGCGGGTCAGTGGGCAGAGGCCGGCTGAGGGCGTGTGGGAGTGAGACTGGGGGCAGAGGGAGACAGGAGCACTACCGGATCTCAAAGTCCACGTTGGCCTCATAGGGCGCAAAGCTGGGGGTGCCGAAGCCTGCCACCCGGATGCCCTGTTCCAGAAGGCGACGGGCAGGAGCCACAAGGCGGGGCAGCGCCAAGGTGATGCGCAGGAATGGAGATGGGCCATGGCCATGGTACCCGAACATGCCTGGGGAAAGAGGAGGCTGGGACCAGTCCCTGGCCCCAACACCCCCTGGTCCCCAGGTGACACTCACTTTCTCGAGAACACAGCTCCACGGCCAGCACGGCAGGCCCTGTGAGCTCCTTGCCCCCACGCTGGTCCCGGCTGATGGCTGCATTCAGCTCCTTCTGTAGGTCACCCAGGTGCTCGGCTCCAAAACCTGGTGTGGGGAGTCCAGTCAGAGGGGCCTCAAGACCAGCAGTGGAGATTCCCGGGTCAGGGGCCACTCACCAGGGGGTGCTGGGGTGTAGAAGTAGGGTGCGAAGCCGTGGACATGGCAGCAGACAGAGAAACCCTCATCCGTGACCCCAAAGGCGCGRAGCACTGGCACAGTACCACGGGGCGGCACAGGCCGCCCTGGCAGGGGACGCGCTGGGCCTGGGGGTCACAGGGTAGGGAGGGTCCCTCAGGTTCCTCAAAGGTCTCTTCCCCAGATCCACACCTACAGCCTGTGTGCCCCACATGCCTGCTCTCCTGCCCACTTGCCCTTGGCAGCCCCCACCCCAGCACCATTCTCTGTCAATGTTGGAAGAGGCCCCGCCTTGGAACCACAGCACAGAGGACATTGCTTGTAAAGAGCAAAACTGACCACTGGGGCCTAGGTGCAATGTCATGAGCACTAACGCATGGGTGGACACGGGATGCGGGCCAGTTCCATGCTACAAGCAGTTCCTTTGGGCTGCCGCTGTCATCCCCCTGGCCATGGTAGCCCCTTGATCTGTCATTAAGACCATACATATAAATGGAACCAGCCAGGACAGAACGTCTTGTTGGTCTCTTGCGATGGGCACAATGAGAGTACATGCCCCTCCTCACCTTCTCCTCCTGGCAGCACTCCTGCCAGCTGCCCCATCCCTCCCTCCCTCCCACCACCAGGTCACTGTGATGGGGACTGCCTGGGTCCACAGGTTGTGGCTGCCAGAGGGGCAGAGCCAGGGCCCCTTCCCATAGGCTACTTCTGCTCCCCCAACTCACCCACATAATGGTCAATCTCCAGTTGCTGGAAGATGAGGGGCTCTGTTTGAGGGTCCAGGGGAGGTGGGGCAGGCCGCACCCAGCGGGAATCTATGGCTTCAGAGAACTGCCCTGGATGGGGGTGGGGAAGCAGGGTTTGATGGTCTGCCCTTGGAAAGAAGTGCCTACCCCCCARGCCAGCCCTTGGTTCCTCAATGGCCCAGTTCATAGGGTGTCAGGTGGAGGTGGGGATCTGAGTCAGGAGAAGAGACTGGGGTCGAGGGTCAGAGTCAGAGTGGAAGCTGCAGCCACGAATGATGATCGTGATGTGGGGTCAGAGGTCACCCCTTTYGAGGGCCCCAGGCGAGCCCGAGGTCAGTTCTGTGGCTGAGTCCAGAAGCAAGACTGCAGGGGCTCCCACTCCAAGCCTCACCACCCGCGGCCCCCTCTAGGGCCGGCTGCAGCTCCTCCTCCTCCTGCTCGCACAGCCGCTGTTCTGCCTCCATCTCCTCCAGCAGTGCCAGGTTCTCTTCAAACTGGGATGGTGGAGGCGCCTCCTCCTCATCCCAGAGTCCCCTACGGGCCCGCTTCGGGGGCACCCCAGGACCCAGGCCTGACTGCCGCTTGCCATCCATCCTGCCGAGAAGGGGGCGCTCGGTGGGTTTCTGACCAGACCCTCCTCCCGCTATCTTCTCCCCGCCTCCCAACCCCCACCCTGACCATGAGTCCTCTAGTACTTGGAGTGGCCAGGAGTAACCCAACTCCATCCCACACTGCAGACACTCAAGTACTTCTTCAGGCACCCCTTCTACCCCACCCATTTAACCCCTTCCTCACCCGCTCCAGCCCCCACATCCCCTTCCCTGTTTACCGGAGCCCAATCTCCCTGTCCCCCATCAGGAGCCTTAGCTTATCCCTTAATTTCCGAGAAGCCCCTGTCCCTGATGCCCTCCCTACCCACCATCCCACATGCCCTTCAGGTGAACAAGGAGCCTGTAGCTGTGCTCAGTGCCAGGAAGGGCTGAAGCACATCTGACCAYGTCCCTTCCCTGCCTGAGGTTCACACAAACACAGGACACCACACTGTGGCTGATTCCTGCTGTGATTCACGGCCAAATTCCCCCTTTCCAGGTGAGGCAGTTTCGCCCACAGTACCCTGTGCCCTTCCCCCAGAGGCTCCATGCTCCTGTGCGAGAAAGCTCGCCTGTCACTCTCCAGCTCCCTCTGCAGCATGCACCCGCCACACCATTCCCTCTCCCCTGCATTGGAGAGCTGGGTGCAGACACCACACCCCCGACACTTGAGCAAGCAGTTCTAATAAGCTCTAATAAGGACATTCCCTTAAACAAGCACAGTGCAAGGATCAGGTCAAAGAAACCTAACAGTGACTCAGGAAAGCAACCAAATAGTGTTTCTTAATTTCTTCAATTGTCCCCCAAGTGTTCTTTACAGCAACCCCCCCCGACTCAGGAGCCTCATGGCGACTGCTCTTTATGTTTTTTGGTATTTTTTTTCTTTTCTTTTTTGTGCTACTGAGGTTGAACCAGGTCCGTTACCACTCTGAGACACCTAGCCCCACCCCTGTTCTCCGCAGTACTGGGGATTGAACTCAGTGAGCTCTGTCAGGAAGCTGCATCCCCAGCCCCCCCTTTTTTATTTATTTACTTTGGGGAGTACTGGAGATTAAACTCAGGGGCACTCAATCTCAGAGCCACATCCCCAGCCCTATTTTATGTTATTTAGAGGCAGGGTGTCACTGAGTTGCTTAGTGCTTCACGGTTGCTGAGGCTGGCTCTGAACTCATGATCCTCCTGCCTCAGCCTCCTGAGCTGCCAGCCCTTTATTTTTGATTCTGAGAAAGAGTTTCACTAAGTTGCCCAGGTTGGCCTTGAACTTGTGATCCTCCTGCTTTAGAGCCCTGAATTGCTAGGGTTACAAGTGTACTCCYTTACTCTCAGCTTAGTCCAGACTTTATCAAAGAAACGCTGCAAGATGCTGAACTGCCAGAGGATCTGTGAGGGCAGGTGTGTGGGCGTGGCACACAGAGGAGCAGGTGACTGAGAAACACACAGGAGACAATCTCAAATACAAACTGTGTGSGTGGCGGTGTAGCTCAGGGACAGAGTGAGCTCACCACCAGCACTGCAAAGAACAAAACTCAACATGCTGCGGGAGAAGCCAGACACAGAGCGTGTGTGCTTGGGGAACAGGGACTGACAGGGTGTGGGACTTCTGAAAGTGACGGAATGTTCTGAAACTAGACAGAGGTGCTGGATGAACTACAGAGTGAATGTCATCAAACTGAAGAGTTGTTCACTTTACAAGGTTGATTTTATCTCAGTACCAGAGGAAAGTCCACACCATGTGATGCCGTTTACATGTAGAACAGACACACTGGTCTATGGTACTAGAAATCAGACTAGTGGCTGCTTCTAAGATGGGAGGGATTGACAAAGAAGGGGTACAAGAAAATTTCCTGGGATGACGGAAACATACTGTACATCAAACTGCACACCTGGGACCTGTGCATTTCACTAAGCGTAAATTACAGTTCAATTATAAATTACAAACATAAAGGTGATTCCATATCTTAGGATTTATGCTGCAGATATATTATCAAGTCTGAAAAAAAAACTGCATTTACAAGGTTATTTCCGGCAGCATTGTTTGAAATCCCAAAAGACTGGAAACCACCTAAATGCCCGCCCCTGGAGAACTGTCCAAATAAATTACATTAATTCTACTCCAAGGAATACTATGCAGCTCTATAAAGGGAGGAGGAAGCTCTCCAGTGCTGATAGGGAAGGTGCTCAAAGAAGTATTGTTCAGTAGACAAAGCAAGGTACAGAAAGTGAACTTTGACTTTCATGTTTTGCATTAAAAAAAAAAAAAAGATATCAAAGAAAAAAATGTTTGCCCTAATACTAGTCACTGAGTAACAATCAAACAAATCCCATGTGGAGGCTGGCCACAGCTGGTCTGGATCTTCAAAACTGTTGTTGCCATAAAAGAAAAAGAAAAATCCACCATGATGACAAAATGCCATGTGTGAGCCCAGATGTGACCCTGGAGTGAAAGATCAAAACCAGCTCTGAAGGATGTAACTGGGACAACTGGGATGATAGAATAAACCAGCTCACGTTAAACTGCCCAACTGTAGTAGCTATACCATATTTGTGCAGTGGACATCCCAGTTCCTGGGGCATCCCWGCTGGAGTTTTTGAAAGAAGAAACATCATAATCACAACTTTCAAATGATTCAGCAAAAAAGAAAGAAAGGAATACATGTCCAGGTGCTTAAAGCAAAACACCCCAGGTGGGGCTGGGGTTGTGTCTCAGCGGTAGATCGCTCGTCTAGCATGTGTGAGGCCCTGGGTTCCATCCTCAGCATCACATATAAATAAAGGTATCGTGTACAACTACAACTAAAAAAAACAMCACCAGGCCTCGCTGATCATCAATGAACAGGCAGAGGGGAATGGTACCCTGCTCATGATACTCAATAGGAAACTTCTCTGCAGGTTTGAAACTTTTCAAAATAGTAAGCTGGTGGGGGGGGCGGGGGGGAACGACACAWAAAAGAGTAACACTGTTTAACAAGGGTATCACTGTTTAACAAGGTGGGTGGTAGAAAACATGTGTCCCTAATGCATCACTCTGGTAGTGCTGGTTTCCAGGGGCAGAATGGACAGATGGTTTTCTGAAGTGCTTTATTCAGATATTAATCCAGACACCATGCAACCCACCTGCAAGTACCTTCAGTGGTTGTGAGAGTATTTACAGATGTGCAACATCTCCACAATTCGATTTAGAACACTTTCCCCCCCACCAGGTGACAGACAGTGGCTTCAGCTATCACCCCCACTGAGCCGATGCGCCAGCCAGGGGGAACCACAAATCAACACTCTGTGGATCTGCCTCCTCTGGACATGTCCTGTACGGAGCCTTAGAACGTCCTTCTTCCACTTGACATTTGCAAGGTCCATCCTGTTCAGTGCTCAGCTCTTCCRTGCCTGTTTTCCCTCTGCATAGACGGACCACGCTTTCTTTTTCTACCACCACTGATAAGCACTAGGGAGGAAAGCCCCTCACCAGGGTCTACCCCTCTCCCCAGCGCCAGCTTGGGACAAGCCCCTGGCAAACACTGCTCTTCCCCTCTCCAGGCCCTTCAGTAGCACGTGCTCAAAGGCAACCAACCGCAGTGATCAAACACCACCAAGGCTCACTGGGGCAGAACTGAGTCTCCTCTCAGTGACCTCATCCCATCTCACAAACTTGACAACTGTTTTTTTTTTTTTTTTTAATTTTGTTTTTTTGAGGTGCCAGAGATGAAACCAGGCCCCCACATGCTAGGCAAGTGCTCTGCCGCTAACCACGCCCCCAGCCCTCYTGGGCAGCTGCAGACTCTCCCGACTTCTCCCCCATTGTGTCTCCACTGGGAGCTGAGAGCATGTCCTTCCAGGCACCCTGGACTCCAMAGGTGAACAAGCTGCTCTCTGCACCCCATGGTCTCCCCCAATTCAGCAAATGGCATTTTCCATGAGGCCAAGACCTTGAAGCCACCTGGACTTTTCTCTCCCCCCAACACACACACACTCCGCTGCAAACCCTGCCCATCTGGCCATCTACCAGATCCAAGGCCAACCRCTCCTGGGCCTGGCAGCTCCCCCTGGACCGCAGGCCTCTTTTCTTTTGTGCACTGCTGCTGTCTGCCTCCCTCTGCTGGAAGGTGAGCTCAGCGCAGGCAGAAAGGGCCAGTATGGCAGAGTTCCCCAGCAGCCCCTAAGGGTGTGTGGCACAGAGTGCTCTGGAGAAACAAGAGTGGATGAATGACCCCTCTGGGCCTCCCCCACCCGCCTGCCAGGGTATTCTCCACATGGCAGCCAGAGGATTCTGCACCACAGGCAGGACCATCCTCTCTCTCCGCTCAGACCCCACCTCCCACCCTCTCCCTCTGACTCAAGTGGCTCCAGCGACTAGGCTTGTGGCTTTGTAACCACCAGCTGCAGCCCAAGCTTAGGACCTGGCACAGGTGGTTCCCACCCAAGCTCTTCCCCAGGCGTCTGTCCCCTGGCCCCCCCTTCGCACCTCTGCTCCCGCTGCTTCTCAGCAACTCCTGCTAGCTGGGCAGCTGCCCTCCTGCCCGCCCCCCAACCCTCTCCTGCTGTTTTTTCTGGGTGGGACTTACTCTCTAGTGTGCTGCACCCACCCATTCTCAGAGTTTTCAGRATGGTCCCAAGAGCGGTGACAAGAGCTTCGGGTAAGAGTTTGTAGGAAAAGCTCATCGTCAGGCTTCACCCAGACCTACAGAACCAGGACTTCTGTGGGGCTGTGTTTCGGTCATCTCGAGGAGTTTTAGCTTATGAGTTCCTTGAAAAGAGATCAGGGTCTTGCCCATGCCAGGGTCCCCAACATTACAGGTCACTTCAAGATGTGAGTGTAGTCTCCTACCAGGTGTCCCCAACTTTGATGAGTCTCCCCTGAGCCTCCAGATACTTAACGTGGCTCCCAAAGACCAGCACTGCCTCCCTCACCCCCAACTTCAGCACTTAGCACTGACTTCTTTTTCTTTTTCTGGGATACTAGAGATTGAACTCAGGGGCACTCAACCACTGAGGCACATCCCAGCCCTATTTTGTATTTTTTATTTTTATCTAGAGTTGCTTAGCACCTCACTTTTGCTGAGGCTGGATTTGATCCTCCTGCCTCAGCCTCCTGAGATGCTGGGCTTACAGGCAGCTCTGACTTTAGAGAGCTCACAGCACCCTGAACCGAGATCTCCGGCTCTTCCAACCAAACCGAATTATCACTGGCTCCCCAGTACCCTGCGAATGGTCTGCCCCAAGAGCAGGTGCTTGAAGGGCTGAAGAAGGTGCTGGCAGGAAAGGCCAGGCTTAGGAAAGGAACCTCTCTAAGGGACAGGAGAGGCCCAGGAGGAAGAAGTACAGGAAGGAGGGCGAAAGACAAGGTACAGATAGTGACATCATCTTTCCCTGCCTCCTCACTCTGCCAAGATCTGTCCTTGATGGCACAACAAAGCTGCTTCTCCCTCAGCCTTCCCATCTGGACTGCTGCTCAAACCACAAACCCAGGAGTCYTCCTGGGCTCATCTCTTCTTGCCCACATGGTCCATCTATTCTCTCTGCCTGTCCTGTAGGCCTCAGACCCCCACTGCACCCTTATCTCCTAGTTTGGCTCTCCTTCCACTCTTACTCCTGATACAATACAATCTCCAACTAGCAGCTGTTGAATTTTCCAAAATGCAGGCAGACCTTATTGTCCCATGCTCAAATCCTCCCATGGCTCCCCAGTGAACACAGAATAAAAGCTAAGCCTCAAACCAAGGCTTACAAGACCCTATAGGACCTAGTCCCCATCATGTTTCTGACTTCATCTACATTTTGTATCTCTCCTGTTTCCTCACTTTCGGCTACAAATACACCAAGCTCCTTTCTACTTCAGGGCCTTTGCACTTGCCAGTCCTTTGCCCAGATCTTTCCTTACCAGGCTGATTTATCTCAAACAGAACTTCCCGGTCAGGTTGATTCCGGGTCACTCTAGCTAGTGCCGCCCCATCGTGATCACGTGAGCCTGTTTCATTTCTYCTCCTACAAAGCACCACACCTGAAAGCATGGCTTTACTATCACTTCTGTCTGTCGTCTGCCCTCCCCTGAGGCGAGGACCTTCTCAGACTTGGTGATGCTGCAGCCACTGCTCCTAAGATAGTGCTCTGAACGCAGTTCTATCAACTTCTAGCGAATACGGGACCACACCGTGCTCACACGTGCACCAACCAAACCCCCAGCGCCTCGCGGGYCGCGGCCCCAACTCGCGATGCGCCCCTCGCAGATTCCCTGCAGCCGCACAGTCCAGCGCCGCCTGGAAGACCACTGGCCCCTGCCCCGCTTCCTCGCGCCCCCGAGTCAAGGGGATCCCTCCCACCACCACGTCCCACGCCACCTGTTAGTACAACCCCTCAAGACTCTTCCCGGCTCCTCGAGACCCGCTCCCTGCCTGGCGGGGATCCACAGATCCCCTCTTACTTACTCACCCGCTTCAAACAGCGTTTCCCGCCACAGCGTACGCCGCCGTGACCCCTGACTCCGGCGCGCGCAGGCCCAGAGCCGCCGCGCGCCGAGCCGGGCCACGCCCCTGACCGCTCAGYGCGGCCAAGGCCACGCCCAGCCAGGCAACTTTCCCCGCCCCTTTCCCCCAAGACGAGGCAAGCCACGCCCCTGGGCTCCCCTGGGGTGATGACTACTCCCGCCCCGTTGCAAATTCCCGACAACCCCACCCCTCATGACGTATAGGACCCGAGGCCACGCCCCTCCGGGCTGCGGCCCTCCCAGCTCCCGGGGTCGGCCTGGCCAGATGCCCCGCTACCCMCACTATCCCTTCGGGCGTCGTGCGTGCACACTCCTGTCCTAACCTGCCTCCCTCCGAGGTCGCCTCCCGGGAACTACCGAAGTGGACGCCGCCCTCACCGCAAAGGTTGGCTGTTACGGGTCGGCCCCGAGCCTGTTTCCCCATCTGCAAATAACTAGCGCAAGGTAGACACCTTTGGGGTGCCCAGCACATACTTGGAATRAGGCGATTGCGTATAACCACTCTCATTTCCATTGTCTCCTGCCCCCAATAAATGCACTTTCCCGGTTTTCTGTCGGTTCCTACAAGCAGCCCTCCCCCTCGCCCAGGGCTCTCCACCAAGCCCACTGCCATGTGAGAACTTCACAGCTTGCCTTGTGTGTGTGGTCCCACAACTTGGAGGCCCAGCCCCCAGGTTCTCCTACTTTGGGTGCCCTCAAAAACATCGCCTTGGAAATACCTCCCCTTCCTCTCTCCAGCTCCCACTGTCCTGTGTGGCCGCCAAACCTCCTTGTCCCTCCCCTCTACCAGTCTCATCCACTCCCCATGTCTCCACTTTATTTTGTTCACTGTTTCCAGGCCRAAAATTGCTGGGCATGTCTAAGCTCTCCATCAGCACTTGGTGGATGAATGGTGCATCCCTGGAAGGGGCAGCACAGTACCCACCCACCCACGAGGGGCCTTGGCAAATACTTGTTGACTGGACAAAAGTCCCAACCCTTCACCAACTTAAATCTTATTTGTCCTTCAAAAGTGGTTCCAAAGCCAGGTGTAGTCAGAGACTTGGGAGACTGAGACAGGACTGAAAGCTCCAGGCCAGCCTTAGCAACTTAGCAAGACTCTCAGCAACTTAGAGGGACCCTGTCTCAAAAATTAAAAAGCCAGGGGCTGGGGATGTGGCTCAAGAGGTAGCGCGCTCGCCTGGCATGCGTGCGGCCCAGGTTCGATCCTCAGCACCACATACAAAGATGTTGTGTCTGCGGATAACTAAAAAATAAATATTAAAAAAAAATTAAAAAGCTGGAGATGTAACTCAGTGGTAAAGCACCCTTACACCCAATCCCAGTACCAACCAGAAAAAAAGGGAAAAAAATGACTCCAATCAATCTTCTTCAGGGAGGTGAGTCTTGTCAGGCACATGGCCTGGACCCCCTCAAGCAGCCAGCCCCTATCTCCCTAGATTGGGATGGTCTRTCACCTCAACAGCCTGGCAGCCTGAAGAGGCTGCTGGTCTGTCTACTGAATTAGATTCAGAGGCTGGTGTTAATGAGGACCGTGAAAGCTCACCCCCTCTCTACCTATACTTAAGGGTTGGCTTGTTTTCGTATTTTCTTGTTTTTGTGTTTAGTTTTTATTAAATAAAAGGAGCAGAGGAAGAGAGGGACCTATGGTCTCCAGGCCTGTGAAGTTATGGGCCCTCCCCTTCCCTCCCTCTGTTCAAGGTGCATTGAGCAGTAGAGGTGTAAGCTGGGTGGGAAGGGCAGCTGGGAAAGGTCGGAGGTCGGGACCAGTGACCCATCACCCTTCCTGGAAGACTCAGTGGGAAGGGAGGGACCATAAGGGTGCTTCAGGTCACAGGTGAAACCATAGGCCTGCCCTGGCCCCTTTCCACCCCAGGAAGAAGAGAGTGACAGCGTCCATCTGTTGCAGGGTGGTCAGGCAAGGTTGTAGACCAGGATGACCAGCCCCTTACTCATGGACGTCCCAAATCTCAGACAGCAAAGGTGGCAACTTCTTGTCCTGGAGTCTCAGGGCAAAGACCTGCTCCGAGTGGACGGAGCTCAGCGTGCGTAGGCTCACAAGCTTCATCAGCATGCGTGGGAAGCGAAGCTGGTCCTGCAGGCCGACAGGAGGAAGGTGGCTGCTGGCAGGGCCCCTGCCTGCAAGGAGGGCCTCCCTTCTCCAATTAGCCAGGAAAGCCAGGGTAGGGAGCAACCAGGCATAGTACAGGCCCCACCCAGGGCTGGGGAAGCTGTCCTTTGTGAAAGGATAGAAGCCTGAGGACAGCTCTGATGAGCAGACAGTGCCTGGAACTCAGAACATCACAGTGGGGCAGGCAGAGTCCGTGCTCAGATGAGGAAGCAAGACCCTARCCCCAGAGTGGTTCTTTGTGGGCATGGACTCCCCTCCCACCCCAGGGGGCCACAGGCTCTAGGTGGCTCCAGGTCCTAGTACCTGTGGCCTCTTGATGCGAGTGTAGGACAGCAGAGCCTCCACATAGGGCTGCTGCAGGGCTTCCACGCGGCTTGGCTCCTGCACATTGGGTCGGTCAGCAGAGAAGATGTTAATGGCAATGAGGAGTGCATACTCTGCATCGTCCAGGCCCAGGCGCCGCATGGCCCGTGAGAACTCGAAGATGGGATTGATGAACTCCACTTGCAAGCCTGTAGGGAGAGGGCCACCKGATCAGCTCTCAAGCCTAAAACCAGGCTCCAGACCCCGGTCCCCATGCCCAGCCAGTAAGTGAGGGGATCAGCAGTGATCAACGTCCTGTCATTTCTACACCTGTCCTGTGCAGCTCCTCCCTGTTTTCACAGACTCTGTCCTTGCCTGCACAAGAGCAGAGGAGGGTATTTAACCCAAGTGGTGTTCTGCCAGTCCCTGCATGGTTCCACTGCTCTGGAGGTCAATTCCAAACTCATTTGAAACTTATGTGTTCATTTATTCATGCAACATTATTGAGCATCTTTTTGGGCCAGGCCCAAGGGTAAAGCTGTTCTTAAGATAATCCTGGGGATGTGGCTCAAGTGGTACCGCGCTCGCCTGGCATGTGTGCAGCCCGGGTTCGATCCTCAGTACCACATACAAACAAAGATGTTGTGTCCACCAAAAACTAAAATAAATAAATAAATATTAAAATTAAAAAAAAAAAAAAAAAGATAAAAGTCCTGGGGGGGGGCTGAGGTTGTGGCTCAGCGGTAGAGCACTTGCCTAGCACATGTGAGGCGCTGGGTTCGATCCTCAGTACCACATAACAATAAATAAAATAAAGATATTGTGTCCAACTACAACCAAAAAAATATTAAAAAAAAAAAAAAAAAAAGATTCAAGTCCCAGGCTGGGGTTGTGGCTCAGTGGTAGAGTGCTTGCCTAACACGCATGAGGCTCTGAGTTCAATCCTCAGCACCACATAAATGTAAAATAAAGATATTGTGTCCAACTACAACCAAAAAAATATTAAAAAAAAAAAAAAAAAAAGATTCAAGTCCCAGGCTGGGGTTGTGGCTCAGTGGTAGAGTGCTTGCCTAACACGCATGAGGCTCTGAGTTCAATCCTCAGCACCACATAAATGTAAAATAAAGATATTGTGTCCACCTAAAACTAATAAATAAATATTAAGAAAAAAAAAGGGACAAAGTCCCAATTCTTGTAGGATTCTGGGGTTGAAGGAACAGATGACAAACATATCAATAAATACCCAGCTTATCAAATTGTGATGAACTTTTGGAATAATGCACAGCAGAGTAATTGGGACAGTTGAAATCTGTTTACATTTTACATGTGGTGGACAGGAAAGGCCCCACTCACTGTAGGAGAACATTTGAGCAATGACCCAAGGAGGTGAGGGAGCAAGTTCCAAGACTATGTGAGTGTCCTGGGCAGGGCGACCAACTGTCTGTATCCAGGCCACAAGACTTTGTGTGTTCAAACTGGGCAGGTCCTGGGCAAACCTGAACAAGTGGGTCACCCTGGTTCCAGGGGAGAGAACAGCAAATGGAAAGGCCCTGAGGCTGGAGCACGTTTGATGGGTTCAAATAAGAGTGAGAAGGTCAGGGATCGAGGGGGAGAGGGCAGAAGCTAAGGGCAACAGCTGAGAGCAGAGAGGAGCCCTTTAAGTGTTCCAGGGAGCCATCCATGAGTGGTAGCAGAGGAGGGGATGGGAAGTGGTGGGATTCCTGACCTCCTCTCCAGCCTCAGCTCTCTGCATCTCATCTCCTTGTAGTTCCTTAAAGCCATCCAGCTCTTTCCCACCTCGGGGCTTTGCACATGCCAATCCCCCTACAGCAAACACTCTTCTTCTCCCAGACAATGCCTCTTACTCCCCAGGCCTCAACTCAAACACAATTTCTCCAGGAGCTCCTGCCTAGGTCATGCCCAAGTACGTGCTCTTGGAGCACAGGATGTCCAGGCTGCCCTACACACCAAGGGAAGCTTTGTTTTTGTGATGGGCTGGATTGAGCAGCCTGTCTCCTGCTGAGACAGGTTTGGAGAGAGGTGTCTCTTCCTGATTCCCACTAAGATGCCCTATGTGTTGGCAGAGACTCCTTTCATACAGGGCTCACTAAACACACTCTCATCTTGCTCTCACGTTGGCTCCATGTTCAGCACACTTTCGAGGCTCAAACAAGAGAAGCTGAGGTCCCCTAGCCAGTGGGCGCCAACCTCCCTTCATCCGGGCCCCCTTGGCAACCTGCACGGTGGAAGTCATCCTTGCTGTAGGTGAAGTCCTTCAGGAAGGTGATGCACTCTGTCTCGTGGTTGTAGCGCCGGGCCGTCTCTAGCAGCATGATCTGGGGGCAGCAGGGGGAGGGCATCAAGGGGGTCCCACAACCCTTCAGCTGTTGTCCCTCCCACCCAACCTGAATGGGAGTCCAATCTGGCAAGAATCACCCTCCTGTGCCATGACAGCACACAAGTGGCAKGTTGGACCTCTGAGTGCTCTGCCTCCAAGCTTCAGCTTCAGCCTGTGCTGCTCCACTCTGGGGCACTCTCTCCCCTGGTGGCTATAAGGGCCAGGGGCAGAAGTTTTGTCTGTTTTGTTCATTGCCATATGCCACAACTTAGGATCAAGCTTCAGATACTGTAGACTCGTTTCTTATTCACTATCTACGATTTGGATCGAATGTCAATTCCTCTGAAAAGCCTTCCAGGTGTGTATCCTCCAAAGCTGGCCTCTCCAGTGCAGCCCTTGACTGCTCTCTACCTCAGCTGCCTCTCCGCTCTCTCCTTGGCTCATGGAGGCTCTGGCTATCTAATTTAAAACTCAGATGATCCTCTGTGGAATGCCATCCCCACAAAGGTAAGGACTAGCCTTGTTCTTCACTCTGCCCCCAGCMTCTGTCCTGGAGCTGTCTCTGAGGTTCCTGTGGGCAGGAGCAAGGGTGGTCTGGTGGTTACCTCAATGGTGGATGCCTTCAGGAGGGCAATCTGGTCCTCACGGCCCAGCTGTAGGAAGCCAGGCACCTGTTTGGCAAAGTCCACGATCTCCTGCACTGAGATGATGGCCAATTCCGTGAAGTGGGCAAAGCGCTGCTGGCGGGCATCTCGGGACTGGGGGTCTGCACCCAGGGGCCAAGGCTGGGATACAGAACAGCAGGGTCACTCCCAGGAATCCTGCACTCTGAGGGACCCTCCTTTAAAGAGTCCCGCCCTCTGAAGCCTCATACCCCCCACATCCTGGCCCCAGCCCTGCTGGCTCTCCCCACTGGGCCTGTCACTGCTCGAGGCTGTGGAAGGGGCAGTACCGTGACTTTGGGCTGGTCAGAGAAGGAGCGTTTGTTGCACTGCAGTTGGGCCGCCACCAGTTGTTGGATCATTAGTTCCTGAGCCGCTGTTAACTGGACACCCTCGCCTTCCCCTGAGCCCTGGCCACCTGCCTCAGACCCTCCAGGGGACGCCCCAGGCCCAGAGGCTGAGCTGCTGCTGCCACCTGGCTCCACGAGTGACTGCTGCTGCTGCTGCTGCTGTTGTTTCTGAATCTTCTTCTTCCGGATCTGTTCCTCAGAGAGGACACCTGTGGGGGACATGGGCCTCAGCAGAGGCTCCAGGCCTGGGCAGGGGCAGGCTGTACCACCCTTCCCTGGCACTCACACTGCTCCCGCATCCCTGCCTCCTTGCACTTGCGCAGCCGGCACTGCTGGCACTTGCGCCGCATGAAAGCGTCCATCTGGCAGGTTCCACCGCCCCGGCAGGCATAGCGCCCAGCCCCACCGTGGACCACACTACGCCGGAAGAAGCCCTTGCAGCCTTCACAACTGAGCACATTGTAGTGGAAGCCAGAGGCCTTGTCCCCGCACACTCGGCAAAGTTCGTGGCCCAGCATCTTCGGAGCAGGGCCCTTCTTCCTCTTGCGCTCCGGCTCCTCCTCTGGCTCTAGGATGACTGGGATGGGCAGACAAAGGCCATGAGAGAGAGCCACAAAGAGAAACAGCTGCCAGAGGGTCAGGCCCATGAGAGATCCCAAGGCGAAGAACCAGAGGACGAAGGATGAGAGGAGATGTGCACACCCAGAGGGGCTGCAATGCAGAGGGAAAGACGTCCAAGTCAGTAGACCCCCAAGAAGGAATCAAAGTAGGAGGCATTAAGGAGAAACGGAAGGAAAAAGAAAAAGAAATGGGCCTCCCATCTCCCCATCCTTGTTTGTCCCTTTCTAGATCCCTCCAAGAGCCTCACACCAATTTCCAGACCCCTATCCCTGTCTCACCTTCTATGAAGGCGGAGCTGGCCCCATCAGTGCCTAGGGCTTCAGGGTTCAAACCCTCTGGCCACAGCTCAGGGCCCTCCTCCTTTATAGTGGGTGAAGAAGAGGAGGTGCTGGGCTGAGGAGGGCCATTTCCTGGGAAAGGGGGGAAACAGAAGGAGGGACATTGAGCTTCTATTGCCAGTGTATGATGGGGAATAAACGGGGAAGTCTCACTCACCAGGCACGGGGCTGTCCAGGGAACTTGTGGTGGGGGAGGACATGGTGGGGTCACGGAGCAGCCTACAGAATATGGAAGGGTTGAGAGCTTTCTGAGGCCAGGGACAGGCAGGTCAGACCAGTTGTCCTGAAGGGGTGCTCCTCTCTTTCACCTCCGGCAGAATTTTTTTTAAAACTACTACACAAAGACTCCACTCTCAGCCCTAGCCCTACTTTTTCTTTCTTTCTTTTTTCTCTTTTTTGGTGCGGGAATGGAACCCAGAGCCCCACGTGTTAGGCAAGGTTTCTATCACTGACTTACACCCTCAGTTCTTTTTATTTTTTCACTTTGAGACACAGTCTCACTAAGTTGCCCATGCTGGCCTTGAACTTGCCACCCTCCAGCTTCAGCCTCCCTAGTTGCTGGGATTACAAACCCGGGCCACCTCATGGGGCTCTCTCCCCACCCATTTAAACAATGCCCGCCCCCTTCTGCTCCATGCCAGCCTTCATCCTCAAGTCCCGCCCCTTCTCCGGGTCCCAMCCACCAGCTCCAAGAAACAACCCTTCTCAAATCACGCTCTGTCCTCAGGTCCTCCCTCCACCAAGTTTCACACCACCTACTTTTACTGGGCTCTACCGCACTTCTGCTGAGAGCGCCCCCAATCTCTCATCCCGATCCCATCTCCTGTTATGCCCCACCCCATTTTTTCCTCCTAGGTCCCGCCCACTCCTCCCAGGGCCGACCCTCATTCCTTCCATCGTGGAACKTGCCTGCCTTGGAACTCCGCCCCCTCCCCAGCTTCAGATCCCGCCCATCTCCTCCCTCCAAGCCTCGCCCCCACACCTCGCTCCAAGTCCCGCCCCTCTCCGAGCACCAGGGGAAGGCGGGGCTCATGGCTGCGCGCAGGGGTCTTGTGGGCGGTCTTTCGCGGGGTCTCCTACTCTGTTGTTCTGGAAACAGCCGGGGGAGGCGCAAGCTACAGAAGAGAGGGACGTAAAGGAGAGAGCGAGGCTGAGCGGAGTGGCGCGGACCACCCAGGAGTCTCTGGCCGGGCTTCTCCCGCGCCTCCCCACTCTCGGGAACACTTGCCTCCGTCCCCTKGCTCTGCTTCTCTTTCTCCTCCTCCTCAGCCCCTGACAGGCGACCGCTACTGGGTCCCCTCAAAAGTAACTTCGGGGCGTTGGGTGTGTAGCTCAGAGGCACAGCACTTGCCTAGCATGCGCGAAGCCCTGGGTTCGATCCCCAACACCGCAAGAAAAAATAGGAGGAAAAGTAACTTCGCCACTTCTTCCGGCAACCCCGCCGAGCGTCACCTCCGGAAGGGGGCGGAGAGCGAAAGGTGACGGACTTCCGGTCCCCTTAGGACCCGCCTGGAATCCACTGCCCCGCACGGAAGTCATATGCTCACCGGAAGTGTTCCCTACCGGGTAGCTCCACTGGGGTCACGAAAAAGAGTTCCGGAAAGTTCCGTTCAATGTTGAGCAAGAGGGGCGCAGGTGACCCCAAATCTTCCGGGTCCGCGCTCTGGAGCCTTGTTCCACCCATGCGCTTTCGCCGGCCGGCGCCCAAAGACTTAATGAACATAAATCTCCCCAGCAATGACTGCCTCTCGCACAAGATTTATTCGAAGACTGTTTGCCTTTTTTTTTTTTTTTTTTTTTGCTTATTACATGCTTTTCTGATATTGTGGGTGTGGTTAGTTTTAAATAAGTTAAATCACAAACATAGATCCAAAAATATATATATAGTGCGGGATATGAAATCCAAGGCCTCATTCATGCTGTGCGAGCGCTCTACCACTGAGCTTGCACCTGAAAACATTTTGGAAAAAAACAAAACAAAAAACCTCTTGATTGGAATCTTCAAAAATAAGAAATATGGTCTCCACTACCCAAATTGTAAAAATAAATAGCTCTTTAAGAAAATTCAGAGGGGCTGGGATTGTGGCTCAGCAGTACAGCACTCCCCTAGCACGGGCGGGACCCGGGTTCGATCCTCAGCATCATATAAAAATAAAGGCATTGTGTTGTGTCCATCTACGCCTAAAAAATAAATAAAAAGAAAATTCAGATAGAAGATGAAATTGCTCCAAAGATTTTTTGCTCACTGATAATCGGTTTTTTAGCATATCAGTTTATCAAGCATATATGATACTTTTTTTTTAAGAATTTTTAAATGTTTATTTATTTTAGTTATTGGGGGACACAACATTTTGTATGTGGTGCTGAGGATCGAACCCGGGCCGCACGCATGCCAGGCGAGCGCGCTACCGCTTGAGCCACATCCCCAGCTCCATATATGATACTTTTTAATTGTTATAATTTTTGTGGTGCCGAGAATTGAACTCACCAAGCCTCACTCATGCTAGGCAAGGCCTCTACCACTCTGCTACACTCCACCATGAATGTTTTTTTAGTTTAGTTTTWGTTTTTTGTTTTTTAGAAAAAACAATGTGTAATGCATGCTCTTCTTCAACTTGCATTGTTCACTTCAGACTGGCCTTTGTAGCTATGGAAATTTCCATCCAAGAACATCATAAATAAAATGAGTGGTTAATGTGAGCATCCAGATCTGGCAGAACCTGGTGTCTCTGTCACCTCCTTGCTCTGCCATGGTTAAGCCAGGATACTTAACCTCCCTGCATCTCTTTTTCCTTGCCTGTAAATGGGAGAGAGAACTGACCTGATTGTATTGTTCTTGTAATTACTTGAGGTTAAAGGGATGAAGAAACCTGGGCTCAAATGAGTCTGACATGTTGGAGCTTTGTTTATTCCTATGGGTGTTAAAGTTCTTTCTAACTTAACACTCTTAGAAAAGTGCAAAAGGCTGATAGGGACTTAATATTAATCACTGTGCCACACTTTTGGGGTGAGTCACATGAGGCTCAGTATCCACTGACCTGATTGTAAAATGGGGGAAACTGTATGTTGTGAAGAGTGTAAGAGCTCAGCAAACCCTGCATCTGGCATTTGTAAACATCCAGTCAGTAGCAGTGTTGCCTGAATCTAGTTGTGGACCAGTGTTTTCATTTGTAACTGATCCAATACCCACCCCCATTTAGGTAACAGCTTTATTGAGCTATAACTCACACTCTRTAATTCACCATTTAAAGTAAAATTCATTTTTTTAGTATATTCACAGAGTTCTGCAACCATTACCATCAACAAATTTATTTATTTTTATTTTGGTCATTGTCTGGTTGGCTGATTCTATTGTCTTCTGGCCCTGTGGTGGTCCTGTTGCCTCTTCCATTATTCTGCAAACACACAGAAAGCCTACAAGCCTCAGAGCTCCCTGTGAACCACTGCATCAGGCTGGTTCTTCTTTAGCTATCATTATCTTTTTTTTTTTTTTTTTT